CTTGATTACACACAGGTGGATTCTATTTATCATCATTAGTCATTTAGGTCAACATTGGATCATTCAGAGATCCTCACTGAACTTCTGGAGAGAGTTTGCTGCACTGAAAGTAAAGGGGCTGAATAATTTTGCACGCCCAATTTTTCAGTTTTTTATTTGTTAAAAAAGTTTGACATATCCAATAAATTTCGTTCCACTTCATGATTGTGTCCCACTTGTTGTTGATTCTTCACAAAAAATTACAGTTTTATATCTTTATGTTTGAAGCCTGAAATGTGGCAAAAGGTCGCAAAGTTCAAGGGGGCCGAATACTTTCGCAAGGCACTGTATTTTTGACAGATCAGTGCTGAGTGGACACACAAAGCCAGTGTTAAATGACTCTTATGTGTCAATGACTGGCATAAGAGAGCATATAATTGGAATGTGACCTGACATACTGTATGTCAGGGTTTCTATCAGATCATAGTTTGTAACAAGGCCCAATTTGTGCATCATGCTGCATATAATCATAGCACTTATGTAAGACGTAATCCTACATAGGAGCAAGACACTCAGTATTAAAAGCATATAAAGTTATTGCACTGTATTTGTCTTATTTTGAGTCTCTTGGTTGTGGTTTTTTGTCTCTTCCTGGTTATTTCACTTCTCTTTGTATTCAGTTTGAGCCCCTTCATACTCAATTTGCATCTCTTTGTGGTAATTTTGAGCTTCCCTGTGGTTAATCTGCATCTCAGTCTTTCTCATCCATTTATCCATCTGATTTTTGTTTACATTTCTTTCCAGTATACTCACTTTTAAGTCCATGTTACTCAGTGACTGTTGCATTCTGAATCTTATGAGAGCGATGGTTCAAACATTCAGTCATATTTGTTGTGAAATGAGCAATCACTTTTTGATAACAAAGTCAAATAAATACAATTCAAAAAAGGTGTTTTTAAAAAAGGTTGTTTTCATTCCTCAGCTATGAGACGTTACCCTCATCTGGTTCAAATCATTTCCAAACCACCAACCCACCTCCCATCAGCTCGCCTTCTTTATGGTT